AATGACGTGGCAGGTGCATTTACCAGGGTTTCGCCAGGGCTTTGACGGCAGTCACCAGATAGCTCTTCCATACGGTAATTAGCCGGAGAGCACGAGGAGTTATCACCTAGGCGCGATCATGGTCGTGTGCACGCGTGTTTCGTCTGGTTCGAGCACTCCATTCCGAGTGCCGCCGTTGCCCGGGCATCGTGGTTCTCCGTCCTTAATTAATTAACACCGCGGCGAATAATAATTATCGAAATGAAAGATGGTATCGGCGGGCTTATTTATTGGTACGCGCCGGCATCGTAGCGAACGTACGATATCGCGCGGCAGCCCCTCTGTTCCTGCGTAGGGCTTCTGTAGCACGGCACGTAAGCGCCGCCACCCTGCAGCATCGATAACCGTATCTAAACGCGACTACCCTAATTGGTTCATAAATTAATTTACCGTGGGCGGTCACATATTTAGGCGTTTTAATCGCGCCACGCAGCATCCGAGCTCTGCGAGCGCGAGATGGCCTGTCGAGGATCGGGGGTTGCTGTGCTTCGCTTTTTTAGCGAAATTGCGTTAGGGATAGTTGATACGGATCCCCAAAAAAGACTTTTAGAGATATTTCAACACAATAGGCCTCAGAATGAATATACAATCGAATGATATAACAGGAGTTAAACCAATTTAAAATATCGTTCAATTTCATCTTTATTAACACATTCGCGACCGCTGACGTGAATTCACGTCACTTCAAATTCTATTAGATATTCGGTATTAGAAACGTAAAATATCTGCCGGTCGCGAATGTATTGAAATATAATTTCTACAAACAACGTGCATATATGGCACACGAATTAGGGCTTTCAATCAACCACACAAAGTTTGTAAATAGCCAAGTATTCCCTGGGATGATTGGCGGCTGTGAAGTGCGCGCTCTCATGCATAATTATTGGAGCATAGTAGTCGCGTCGCAACCGAAATACCGGTTCAATTCCCCGTGGGACCTGTCGTAATTCTTCAAGACGTTCATAGATTTTTATACACGTTCGCCCGCTCTTTCCTTCGTCCTCGTATCGTCTCCCTTGACGCATTTCTCTCAGTCTAGCTGCTCCGCGCGATCGTTCCATTATTCAAATTCTTTCTCGCCCGACAAAAACTTGACATACCTTCGCGATACATTGAGCACGAAAGTGGTGTTACCCCGGTGCTGAATTTATTCCACGCTAAGGAGGATATCGGCCGAGAATTCTGTTTCGCGACATCGGTACTCGATTCGATATTATTTATCGAGGATATTACGTACGACCGCGAAGGATGTTCGCGTCGGTGCACTCGTCACAAGCAACTGCATTTCTCTTCTGTGGAAATGTATAGGTCTGTCTATGTAAACTGTTTGCCTCGAGCATTCCTTGTAATAATGCTTGGTATAAGGTTCATCGAAACTTCTGCTCTGACAGATCATTCGTTTCACTTGAATATATAGAACATTCTAAAATGTGTCTTCATTTTATTTCATTTGTTATCAGCTTCGGATTGCATTCGTTGGTTGTCCTCTTAATTTTTTCCGGGAAATCGTAACATTTCTGAATACTTGTATACCCTGCGACCATTTAGTAAACCGGAGAAAGGTACCTTCAACCTCTACCCAAAACGAACACGAAGAATAATCGATTCCAGACCGGCCGGATCGACTGGAGTAGGAAATTAGGGGTGGCCTTTTGTCACGGGGAAATACAAGTGGAAGGCACACACGTATCGTCCCTTTGCATTTCGCGGCTCCTCGATATTAAAGCCGAGGCAATGCAGGGGATTGCGACGATTGGTGGCGTGCAACGATCTGCTTGGTGCCTGGACTCTCGATAATTATGTGCCAATTAAATTTAACGACTATCCATTATTCCGGTCTGCGAACGCGCGTACAGGCTCCCTCATCGCTACCTTCCTCTTCCTACCCGATTCGACACCCCTTACGCCACACACGTCCTCGCCCCCTTCCACCCCCCCCGTCCCTCTCCACACCCCCATCCGTGCCTGCCGATCGAACGGGCACATTGGCAACAACTAGCCAGGTCGAAATCCAATTACCTTTTAATATTGTCCAAATGGTCCCGGGGATCGAATTGCCTTTGCGAAATTCCACGCGGCCTAGCTGAAAAACTGCGAAGGACTCCTGCCAGCACGTAAATGGCTCCTGCGGACCAACCCCCATATCTTCTTTCCCGCATACGTCGCGGAGGGGACGTTTCCTGAGCAGCATGACGTCCTCCTTTTCTCGCCACACTTCCCCCGGCTTTCCCATGCCAGCAGATTGAATAGAGCAAAACGTTCGACAATTCCGACGGAATTGGAACGCAGATCGAGATAATGGTTTTACATGACTAGACCTAAGTGCACGTGAGTGATACGGAGCAAACTGTACGGGGATTTACGGTTCGCTTTAAGGAGCTCCGCGTCTGGTCTTTATCGACGAATTCGACGTGGCGTTTGGCGATTTATTCTTGTTCGCTTTGGTATCGTTATTACTCATCTAACTTTGAAATGTTACGATTTTAATGTAGCGATGTTGAAAATTTGTTTTGATTTTTAGTTCGATATTCGTGGTTTCTATAAATCGTTGGAAAATGTACGTTATTGTTCACTGTGTATTTTATCGGGCTATTGTTCGCAACGTGCTTGTATTTAAACGAACATTACTATGCATCGCGTCCCTTTGGGAACACATACATCCTCCGTGATATTCTTTACGCCGTGCAAGCGCGCAAATCAAACAACAACGAATGGGACGTTAAAAGTTGTTCGTTCGACTGTAAGGTTCTTTTTTGCTGCGCGATTTACCCGTGTATTTGTTTCGCTCGTGGGGCCGTAAACGCTTTTTTCCGTCGAATCTCATTAAGAATTGAAGCGTTTCGACCACAGATTTCCCCCTTCCTTTAGCCCGCTAGCAAACAGCGATCGTTTTCCAAGCTCATTAAATGCGTGGCGGCAGCCTTTACCT